CTATATATATATATGCACACACACACCACACACACACATATATGGTTATTATGTTATGCAAAATTTTTAGCTTTTGATTATTGAAGTAATTTTGCATAAACTCTTTCTCATTGTTTGGTGTTTGTTGCCCTTAAACCTTGTGTTTCTTTGATGAGGTTAATATCTATCTTATATTCTCTTTAAATTTATTTTCTACTCATCTTATCACATACTCTAATTCTTTCTCGTATCTTCTTCAATATCATAAGCACTTTTCAGGACTAGCCATCCTCTATCCTAGTCCACAATTAAATTTTGAAAAATCACATTTTCTCCTTTGATGTCTTAATTGACCCATGAATGAGGTGGGATAAAAATTTCAAAGTCATTTGAATTGAATTTGACAAATTATGAAGTGTTAGAGCCTTAGGGGCAAATGTGTAATTTTGGAAATTTTGCCTTAATTAACATTTAGGCTTAATTCAAGGAGGGGAATGGGTAACCTCTAATCTTAATCAATTTACTTGATGTTTGAAACACAAAGGGGTTAATTGGTAGAAACCAATTTCACTTTCTTAATTAAGATTAATAAATTTCTATATCATTAAAAAAAAATTTGGAAGTTTATTAAGATTAAATGATCCTAGACTTAGGGGTATGATTTTTGAAGTCAATAATTAATCAATTTAATACCCCCTATTTTGATTTTCGGCGAAATTCAAATAATGAATCATGATCACCTAAAACTTAACCTTTTCAAAATTAATTAAGACACTCACCTAGGTCTTAAGGACTTAGTAGTGATTTAAGATAAATCAAGAATCAAAATTGACTGAATGAGGATTAGAGAAATAAATATAACAAACATCTTTGAAACACCCCTAAGCCCAATTAGGATTAAAAATTTGGCTAAGTGTTCAGATTACACTAACTTGCCCCTTTAAGGGTGTTCACCCACATAATTCTTAAATTGAACGACAAATGATAATTACCCCTTTCTTAGGGATAATTGAGACATCAGTGTTCACTGAGTAATAAGGGTATTTACAGGATGAACTATTAAGCAACATAATAAGTTTAAATGGACTCGAGGCTTTTCACTAGTTGGTGAGAGAGAGGCATGCACCTGCTTCCCCCTCTTAACTTGTTGGATACCTCAGAGGCCTATTAAACTTAATATTCTCTGCTCAATAGAATCATCCTTAATTAAACTTTAATAGATATTGACTTGTTCCTCACTCAACAACGAGGGCTTAACCGCAAAATTTTATCAACTACTCTTGATCAGAAGTTCATATCCTAACCTAAAACTTCACCCTAATTTTCCATCATTTAGACCACTTAAAACCAAATTTTATTGGGATATTTTAAATCACACCAAATAAGCTTATTGTAGACTAGTCTTTGCATACATTCTACCAAGTTCCTCTAAAGTTCTCGCTCTTAAGTTACAAACTCCAAATAATACTCTTAACACTAAAGATCTATAAGTATTTCCGATCGTCAATCCCAAACAAATTATATTTTTAAGAGAAGAATAAGTGGAATACTATGTTAAAATAAGTTCGAAGAGGATTAGAGAAGAGTAAATAATATAAATAAAACTAAATAATTCCAACTAATAATGGTTAAGCTAGGTCACCTAACTTTAAACATTAAAAATTTAATTTGCGTACTCGTGATTGTGGCTACCACGTATCGAGCTCAATAGGAAATAAATGTAACTGATAACTCAATAATCGAAAAACTCCACGCAGAATTTATCTCCCGAAAATCAAAATGCTCCTTACGATGACCAAAGATAACCGAAGCCATCCATACTAAACTCATCATTCTTACAGTAACCAAAGACAAGAACTTACAGAACGAAGAGGGCAGATCACAGGGGAGAAGAGGGAAGAGATAAGTGTTACAATCTCCTCAGAACGCAAAAGTTTGTAAGGCACAAACTCGGCTGAGAAAAGCAGAGGGGTAAGTAAAGTAAAAAATCCTTCGAAACGCTCGACCGCGACACTGAGGGCTCGGGCCACGGTCATATTATAACAAAAAAAAGGTGTTTTACGGGACGCAGCCATGACGCTCCAACCAAACGCCTACGCGGTGTTTTCTAAACTCACAATCCGCGAATAAGCCCCCCCAAACAGACCCTTAATCTAAACTTTAGACTTGAGTTTTAAGACTAAGAAATATTAAAAATCTTCACCCAATTTAGCAAACTTGTGATTTTTTATGTATTTTTGAAATTTAAGGCATGACAATCTAAATTGAATACAATTTTTCTATTGAAAATATAATGCTTCAATTTTTAAAAGATTAAATCAAGACAAAATTTGTTATTGTATGTGGAGTTTGGAGCTTGAATTCAAACTCCAAGTTCAAAAGATTAAATCAAGACAAAATCATTACAAGTTCAAAATCTTAGAAAAGTCAAAATGCTTGCGTACTAGGGTAAAGGTTATTGGAATCTTAAATCCTTTTGTGTAGTGGTGATCTAATAAAATTATGCTAAATTTATTAGTGATATATACAATCATTATACTACAAGCTTTTGATGAATCTCTTATAACATGTAGCTAAATCATAAAAAAGTTCAAACTTTATATAACTCTTAGGTGATGTCCCACTTAGGATTGTCTAAACTTCAAAATGATCAACTTGGAATTCAGAATTAGATATAATAATTCCTCAAAAAAATTATCTCAAATTCAGAAGAGGATATAATAGAATAGAGAAATTTTTAAAGGCTTATGTCGTAGGGGGGGGGGACAAGATTAAGGGTGCACTTAATTTTAGTCAATAGCTTTGAGGAGAGATTTTGGGCTTAGATTGAAGATGATTGGTTCTGAGAGATGATTAGAAAGTGGGAGAGTATGCTAAAAAGGCTTAAAATAGAATTATAAGTATAACATTAGGTATAAACATAAATAATCAGTTCAAGCCATAACCACAAACCTATTAATTTCTCTGATGCTATTGTTTATCATTGAGTGCTATAATATTTCATTAGATGCAGGCCATAATTTACAGAAAATATTGGTTCTTAAGCTACCTATATCTTAAAATAAGAAGGAAATTGTAAACATATTTCTCAACATAAAATTTCAAAATTCGAACTTCAAAATATGAAGTTTAAATATTAAAACTCAAAGAATGATGTTTTTTTCAAGATTGGACACTTATGATGAGCCTTAATTGGGTTCTTATTTTGGTTCTCCTTTTGATCCACATAATATTAAGCTACATCAACAAGTTTAACCTCATCAAATCATTAAATATTCCTCGTAGTATTAACAATGAATGGCTTTTTATTGTTAAACAATTTGCTTGTTACCTTTTTTTTTGCTTAGTTGTTCTGTTTGTCTCTTATGTATAGGGATTTTCATATCATGCGGATCCTCTATTATGTTTAATGATCAAGAATTGGTTGTGCTTTGGGGTTCAATTGTGGCTTGGTTGTCTCTATTTGTAGGGTCTCTCAAATCTTGCAGATCCTCTATTTTAAAGATGGACGATTGGTTGTGGTTTGGTGTTCAATTGTGGCTTGGCCGTCTCTAGTATTTTGTTTTTTTCTTTTTATAGTTGTTGGGCTGGCCTATTTTTGGCCTTCTTTTTGTCGTGATAGTTGTATTTTATTTTACTTTTTGTAACTCTTTCATTTTTTGAATAAAGTTGAGCGTAGCCCTCAGATTTAACCCCCCAAGAAAAACAAAGAATAGTGCAAGTCATTCACTTTAATGATAAAAAAATTGCGAGATAGTAGTTTCTTAATGATTGATGCCATCGATGTCTTGGATCTGTGACTTAATTATATAATTTTCTATATCTCGATTCCATTAATCAAACATGGATAATAGATTACTATACTCGATGATTCGATCGTGGCAGACACAAATGCATCAATTTAATAGTTCAAAAAAATCACAGAGTAATGATGTTGTTAATAACAATATTCTAAGTGATGTTGCATACATAGCACTTGAAACATTGTTATTTACAAATCTACCATCCCCTTTCATGAATGGTACTTTCCATCAACTCATATAACCAGCAAAAACACAATTTTAAAATCCACAACAATCCTTTCTTATTCCATACTGACACCTCATCTGAAATCATAGCATGCAAATATATTATCATTAAACAACTTCTAACAGAAGGCACACATGAACTGCTGCAGCTCCTTTCTTATTCCATACTGACACCTCATCTGAAATCTTAGCATGCAAATATATTATCATTAGACAACTTCTAACAGAAGGCACACATGAACTGCTGCAGCTCAACGCTCAGTTCTTCTTCTTCTTCCTCATAACCTAGCACTGCATACATGCATGCTTCAGAAAATTTGCCTAGATGCAGACCCAAAACTTGAACAAAAAAAGCCAGTGAGTCTAAAAATTAGCACGTAACTGCAGCCTCATTCAGTTGAGTTTCAAGCATCTCAGCCTGCAACCCAAAAAAAAAAAAAATGATGAGAATATTAAACTATAGTATTTTAACATGGAAAAGAATAGGCATTGTCTAGTTAAGTTACCCCACAATTTTTTGTATTTATATATCTAACATCTAAAATTTTATATTTATATTCATAGCATTTAACTATACATATTTATATATATCACTGCTACTTGAATTTTAAAATGAAATTCAACTTTTTATGCATAAATTTATATAAATATGAAAATTTAGGGGGTGTTTGGCTATAACTTAGATTTACATTAAATAAGATTTATCAAATCTGATAGATTCAGATTTACCTAATGTAGTGTGCTACAAAGGAACTCATGAGCGACGATGGAATAAACTCACATCACAATCTGAGTGAGTAAATTCAGATTTACGTCGTAAAAGAGACGAAATAGTGTTGGATTAATTTTTATTTTTATTGATGTTTTGTTGGATTTAAATTCATAAGACTTGTGTGATTTGTAGGTGGATTTACCTTATAATTAAAGTGCATGTCACTGTCTTCGGATTAAATTTCATGTGAGCTTGGTGGGCTCAATTGCAGCCAAAGATAAGGATTTGGAGCTGAAGGTTGAGTAAAAGTACAGAAAAGGAATTTTTGCAAGTTGGGTGTTCTGAAAAAAACCTGAAAGCAACTGCTCCTTCCGTTGCTTCTTTTGAGAAAAAGAGAAAAAGAACAGCGTGGTGTTGGTGGAGGAGCGAGGCCAGAGCAGAGGAGTTTAATTCATGGGGGTCCATAGTACTGTGGCTACCATGACAAACTGTAACAGTTCATGGATAAGAAAGGAGGCGTAGTATTAGGGAGCTGTCTGTGACAGATTTAGGCTTCATCAAAAGTGATGGTGAAGTTATGTTTAGTTGGAGTGAATGTCTACATATGCAAAAATTATTATTTGGTGAAACAATTGGAGAAGTTTTTTTGGCAAGAATAGTAAATTTTTGTCATTTTAGATTGCAGTTTGTCTCCTTCGATTCGACGAACGCAGCTTTTGATAGAAATTTGTTGAACTTTATGGAGTTTCAAATGAAACTTTAAGGTGGTGTTTGGCTTACAAGCCTTATTTAAGTTAAATAGTATTTAGTAAATCCGATAAATCAAGATTTATATTGAGAGAGATAGTATAGAGATGACCCGCACAATACGATGGAAACAATTGGATTCAGTAAATCTGATTTAATGGAACTTTAAAAAAGGCAATAATTTTAATATTATGACTTTAAAAAAGCTATTTTTTTCAATCTTCTCAGTTTTTTCATAAATCCTGTAATTTATTAAACCCTATCATTAGCAGTAGGATTTAATAAATTCATATTTACAAAAATTACTGAATCCTTAAATATATCATCAAAAGTCCCTAATTTTTCTTAAGAAACAATTTTTAAAATAAGCTATAAGAATTTCTATTATTTTGTCTTTGAGGATTCAGAATCCGGACAGCCAGGAGCCATTGACGACTGACCTATTGTCAGCAGGCATGAAAAAATCTTTATTGATTTGGCCGGCACTGTTCATTTGATACTTCTAAAAAAATTTGATTTTTTCAGGAATAATCAACCCATTATAAAAAGTTTCTTTTTTCATAAACTTTATAATATTTATCTGCCATTCAACCTGTCAGAATTCTAACACAGAAACAATATCTGCTGCAAAATTTTTCTGCAGATAGCACTTGAACAGTAAATTTACTGAAGAAGAATATTGAGAACTAAGGATGAGTTTGAGCAAAAGGTGAGATTTTGAAAGACAAAACTACCTCTGCTCCTCTTCGCCGGCGGTGTTTTTCTCGCCGGATGATCTGTAGTTAGGGAAAGGGAAATGACCGGACTCGATGAACTTGAGATCCTCAACCAGAAGCTCGTAATGGAGTCTCACCTCCTCTGCAGACTTACCGCCGACGGCTCTGGCTACATTCTGCCACCTCTCCGGCGTGTCCTTATCATACACCGCCAGTGCTCGCTCGAAGAGCTTGTTCTGCTTCTTCGTCCAAGTTGAAGCAGAGTTCTTCGACGCCATGTTTGTGCAAAAGAAGATAGCTGCGCTCAGGATGGAGATGGTGAGTTAGAAAGCAGTTGGTGGGGAGTCTTATAAGGAGGAGAGTAGAGTTGGAGCCAGCAGGGGAATAATAAGGTGGAGGTGGTGGTGGAATAATGGCATGCTGGTTTAGATAATGGCCACAAGATTGAAGGAGAACTTGTGAGGAAGAATCGCCCTCACCATTTGCAGAGAATGAGATAATGTTCCTCTGCCTTTGTCTCAATTATTGGGCGTACTATGATTATATTGGCAAGCTAGCCAGGATGTAGGATTAGATATACGATGTATTGTGTACGTCAAATACATGAAAAAAAAGATGATTTTTTTTTTCTTCTTTTTGGGAATGGTGGGCGTGAGAAACAAGAAGCGCAGAACCGGCGAGTAGCGCCATGGAAATGAACTGTCTTGCTTTATATTTCACTAGCGACAGCCGACAGGCTTATATATTCTTCGGGGAGTGGGGACATCCACGGCCAAATATGGTGGTGTTTGTAGCCATTCAGATTTCAGCCTTAGTGAAATGAGAAGGAAATTGATGAGATAAAAATTGAGTTTAATTGCTTTGGATTCAGATGTAGATGGAAGATTTGATTACTTTTTGGGTCAAGATGGGGTTAATCTAAAATCATCTTGAAATTGATCTGATTTTGAGTTGGTTAGCTGGTCAAATGAGTCATACTTAAAATATTTGGGCAATATTGATTCCAAATCTTGCATGATCTATTAGTCAATTATTTTAAGATGGATAATGATTGTGTTAAGTGAGAGGCAAATATATTCATGTCAAATCCAAACCCAATTCATTAAGCCAAATTGAAATCTCTGTGCTCATGGTTTGGCTCTTAAGTTGTGGAATAGGCATGCAAAAATAGATTAGGAAAAGGATTAATTTAAGAAAGCTTAACATTAATATAAAGCCATGAGCGTTAACCACATT